ACAACTTTAAGTTAGATCCCTATTAACCTCAACCTTAGGTCCATCTCTTGTATGATAACATTAGGATATAATTCCCTTTCTCATCTCAACTATAAGACCATTTGGCATGACAAGATCTAGGTGTGAGATTCCTTAGTTTTTCTTTTCTCTTTGAGTCTCTTTCTTCTCTCTCTTAAATCAATAAAATTCGTAATAAATATGATGAGTATAGTATGTCACGGGCCTTAAGTACATGGGAAATGATGAACGAGAGTCTCTCCTTGCTTCTTATAGAGTGCTTTGTATACGTTCCGTCTGGGGGCGATCTTGCAAAGTATTCACTTCTAAGTCATATACTTTAGTATGATACACATCTCAAACAAATTTAATTCATTTCTTTAAAACACTTGAACAAATTCAAAACATTTTCCTTCGGGATTCTCTCTGTTCTTTTTCAGAAGAGGGCATGTTATTTTCGTTCTATCGCAAACAGGTAAGCGTGTAAGTCTTCGTACAACGAGCGACAAACACATACTGTTTGAACGTGAACGTTAGCATTGTCCATAAAATACACTTAACAACCCGTGGTCCCAAGAACTACGAACGCTATGATCTCTTCATTATCGTCCGAATGAAGATATTTAGGCAAAAAACGATGAAGTCTTGGCGAGCACAATCCCCCATTTTCACTCGTAGTTCTTTGAACTATGTTGACTTTGAATTTCCCATTGCACGAGGGAATATGTAGGCATAGGACGAAGAGGTCCTATCGAGTCCACTTTTGTTTTTTTTCCTTTTTGTTTATGCGTTCCCTTAGTAAGTAGGTTTTTAGATATAAACACCCTTTGATTAGAACAACAAGAGGGGATCTCGTTGGGTACAACGGACGCGAGGGGTGCTAACACCTTCCTCTTGCATAATCGTCTCCCAAGCCCTGGATTTGGTTGTGAGACCTTGTTCTTTCCATTTTTATGGTTTCTTCGACCATTTCCTTTCCCTGTTAGGATAAATAATGTTCGATGACGACTCTGTTTTTCGCCGGTTGTTTTTCACGTTGCGACAGCTTGGAATGTCAATTTCTGGTAATCTTGAAACCATATTTCTTCTCTTCAAATCTCTGATGTCCTTGAAGTTGAGATGGACAAGTCGATAATTCCATACCCATTCATCTATGGTGAATGAAGTTGCAAGGAACTTATGCTCCATCACATTAAGTTAAATATTGAAGGTTCTATTTTGAGACATTAAAGCCTTCAAGATTAACCTACCACCTGAGTCGAGAACTTTCATCATCTTGTGTTTGATCGACACCTTATAGCTCTTTTTGACCAAATGCCCTATGCTGAACAAATTGCTCTTCATGCCTGATATGTACAACACATTGGAAATTACTGACCTCTTGCCATCCTTCCTCATAATCAGAACACCATCAATACCTTCACCTGCTAGAGTATTGTCATTTGCAAATTTCACCATGTTCTTCATTGAGGGCATTATGTTGACACACCAATCTTTCCTTCTAGTCATGTGTGATGAGCATCCTGAGTCCAAGTACCATTGGTCCTGAAATCTTTCTTCATCTCTTGTTGTAACCATTTACAACACCTTTTCTTCTTCTTCTTTATGATGTTTCTCCAGCTTTGCATCAGTTTCTTGATTCTTCTTCTTTTCTGGACAATCACTAAAATAGTGACCATACTTTTGACAATTGTAACACTGAATGTGACCTTTGTCAGGTTTTCGACCACCGCTTCTTCCTCTACCTGCAACACCACCTCTTTGGTTTCCTTGGTTCCAAAGTTTTCTCTGATTCGACTAATTTCCTTCTTGCTGATTTTGACCAGTCGAATTGTTGTAGCCTCTTCTGCCTTTGTTGTCATTCCAACTTCCTTTGACTTTATTTTCTTTTTCTAACTGCGCCTGCAAAGTCATATCACTCTTCAACTTTCCTGCATCTCTTTCATCCATCCTTTGTTCATGAGACTCAAGCATCCCTTCTCTGCGCCTCCAAACAATTTCTCTAAGATTTCTCATGCTTCTTTCACTGATTCTACATCACTAACCTTTTCAAAATTATCTGGATCAACACATTGATGGATTATAAAGAGAGATTTATAATCTTTCTTCTTCAATTCTTTGTATGCAGTCTTTTCTTGATCCATCGCGTTTTCTACAAGCGGTACCACTCCTCCCTTCACAAGATTCTAAAGATCTTGATAACTGAAAGCCACCTTTATTTGGTTGCACTAATTCTCATAATTATTGTTCTTGAGAATTGGAAGGTTCGCCGAAAAATGTCTGTTTGGATGATTCAGCGCCATCATGATTTTCTTCCCTCGAATCACAACCGGAGCTCTAGGTACTAGATGTTGGAATTAACACAAAATTTTTTGCGCATTCCTAATCAATCTCGATCTCAAGAAAGATTATGTGCAACAATTGTTAATGAAAAATAAGAAAGAAAGAAATAGTTTAACAAAATCAAAGGAAGAAGAGAATGATTTCAACTGCAAAATCTCCGCCCACAAACCGTGGAAAACTTCTTTATTCACTTTGCAACTGCAAAAAAATAGGTGAATACAAGTTATTACAAAATATGGATTACTCCCTCTATTTATAATAAAAGAAAATCCAAAATTACATAAGCGCAAAAAATTACTATTTTTGGTCTAAGTTGAAATTCTGTGTCAAACAACCTACTTCGCCACTTCCATATCTAAACAACTCAACACACACACACACACACACATTAGGCTAATTCGACTAATCTTTGTTTCTGTCGAGCTACAATGTTTCGACACAAGGAATTACAATCTCAACACAATATAAAAGATTAAAGAGAAACGAAAGTAAAAAACAACGAACACAATCAATATTTATTAACACAGTTTAACTGATGGTTGCCACCTTTGCTACTATAGCACATCTATAATTCCTTTGTATTTTTGTGATACTCATGATATGTATTGTGGGGATACCGCCCCTCACCTCCAAATCATCTACCCACAATAAATAGTTGGATTTAAGGCACGTTTGCCCTAAATGCAAGAAAAATGACTCTCTCACCCCTATCTTCGTTGAGTACTGTAATACCCTAAAATTTCTCTACTACAAGTACGTACAAAGTCGTCTCAAATTTTTGAGAGACCTTATGTAAGAAGTTAGAGGAAACTTTTGAAATTTTTTTAATAGACCTTATTCAACGGTAAATTAACCATAAAATATATGTGAAGAACATTTTTACCATAGCATAATCATAAAAATTTGTGAGACTGTGTCTTGTAAGTTACCTTGCATCCCTAATAAACGATCTGTACATTTATTAGTCACACTGAACATTCATCTATCAGCTATACTATTTTGACATTATTTTTTTTACACCTGCATTCTACACCGTATAAATAAAAAAAAAAAATGCTATGCACGAAAATTAAAAATTAAAAAAATTATTTAAAAAATTGAATCAATAGATTGTATGGATACTAATACGGTGTAGTGTTAAAAATTAGTGAAATAATATCATTTTCCATCATCTATATATCTCATCCCATGTCCTCTTTACTTTATAGGCACAATTAGATATTTTGTTGACCTTGTAATATCTATGTTGTCATACTCAACCCTAACAAATTGAACAAATATCTGGTTGACAAAACGTACCGAATTTGCTCGACAACACAACCATACAATGATTGGATGATAAAAGATGCAACAAACCAAAATTCAACACATCTAATGCTATTAACATTTTCTTCTTTAATCTCATATTTATCTCCAAATACTTCAGTTTTCCTCCTTTCCATGAATTATTTCATGTTCTAGCCACCACGTGTCTCAACCCTACACAACTACGTATATCTGCACAACTCTTTAGATGTGACTCAATTTAGTATACTTAATAAGGCTCATACGCTAATACAATATCTAAACAACATGTATTCATCAATATACTTAATATGACAATTTTGTTTTAATACTTATTAGCTTTGTTAATTAGTAAATAAAAAACTTAATTATCATGTGAGAATATAATCTTATTATCTAGGCACTATGCAAGTCCAACGTGGCCATGTTTAGTCTCTATATATCGTCAAAGAAAAGACTCGTATATTTTTGTTATTATTCTTCTTCTTTGAACTAGATTTTAATTATTTAGCTTTACCAAATTTCAAAAGCTCTTGAAAACTTCTATCTAACTTTTCTTTTTTGCATCAAAATAACACTTTTTTCTTCTTATATTTGGCCCACTTCTCTTGATTAAGTGATGCCTTTAGGTTTATACGTCAAACGAACATAACTAAAAATGAGTCCAACACGCCTACACAAACTATGTATCAATCACGAATATTTCCAACTCATTCTTCTTTTTTCTTGTTCATGATTTTCCAACTCATTCTTAATCACATACTTTATGATTGGCTCATTCCAATAAAGTTCACAGATTTATCAGTAAATTTTACATTTAATATCTATTACGCTAATAGGTTAATAATTTATAAAATAAATATATCAAATATAATCGCATGATATCGTGTTGACGTCCGAGGTTATTACGTGTTGGAAATCTAACATGTTTTTATTTAGATATATTTAAATAAAAATATTTTTTAATATATTTATATGTGTTGATGTTGTGTCGATATTATATGTATTAGATATCGGACACATTTTTATTTAAATATATTTAAATAGAGGTGTATCTTATGCAATAATAAAGAAGGGAGGGTGTTAAGCAATTTCCCATATTGATAAAGAAATTAAACTTCCCAAACTTTATAAATGCCATCCACAAGCAACCTCAATAAATGCAAAGTTCATATAATTAAGATTCCTCCATCTTCTACGTCAAACCTTGCCAAACACTCTATAATATAGTCACAAAGCCCATTTCACATTATTCAATACATTATTTTTCCAACCACAAATAGTCCTTAATCTTTGCATATAAAACCTCATTAGTGTAAACATAGAAAGAAATCTAAGAAGCTTGAAAATAGATCCTTGTTGCTTAAAATTCAAAGATGAGTTACACGACGCCAATCGTTAGTAAACTCTATTGTTCAACGTCGCAGACGATGTTCGGAGTAAGGAAAAGGCCACATGTGGTGAATGGAGGTGGTTTTGTTGTCACAGATTACACTACTCAAAAGGTTGTTTTCAAGGTTCATGGCTGTGGTATTCATGGCAAAAAAGATGAGTTGATTCTTAGAGATGGTGATGGAGAAGCTTTACTCCTCATGCGTCGAAAGGTATTACGAACATGTATATAAACTTTATTGAATTGAATTATTTTATATTACAAATAAATATTTATCTCTTATTTTTTTGATAATATGTAGGGAGGTATGGTTGAGGCTCTTAGTATTTACAAGAAGTGGAAAGGTTATAGTGTAAACTATGAAGGATTACAGAAGCTTATATTCAGCTTAAAAGAACCTGGAAATTCATGTTTGGCTAAGAATAGAGGAATCAAAATTTCTATTGAGTCAAGTGTTGTTGGAAACAAAGGTTGGGACTTTGAAATTAAGGGATATTTTCCTGATAAGCATTGCAGCATTGTTGACAATAGAGGCAACATCGTAGCACAGGTAAGACTGTAGTCGCAGACGTAGACACAGTTCGTAATGAAACATCATGTGTTTATTTTTTTCGAGCTTAATTGTTTATTTTTTTTCCCTATGTGTATATAGGTTGGGATGAATAAAGAAGTGGAGAAATTGATGGAAAGCAAGGATTTGTATCATGTGGTTGTGAAACCAGGGATGGATCAAGCTTTTGTTTTCGGAGTTATAGCAACTCTTGACTATATTTATGGAGAATCTACATATTGTTAATTAATCCAAAGTTGTGAAGAAGAAGAACTATATCATATGCTATATGAAAAATTGGTTCAATTTTCTCCTATCACTGATGGTAGTTATTATTTGTAACAAGTAAAGGGAACTTCATTGTATATTATGGCAAGGAAATTTGTTAATTTGGTTGTTAATTTGTTATGTTAAATGTTGTTCATTTTTGTTTTGTTGGACAATGATGTGTGTAAAAGTTTTATTGTTTATAAACTAGTTTCGAATCTTTCTTTGAATTTGAGTTGGTGGTGAGTGAGTTGAGTTAGTTTGAAGTGCTTTTTGAAATAGAGCATGACATCTTTGAACAGATTATGCATGTTTTCTTTAGCTTTTAATATATTCTGTTTTTGCTGGTTGAAGTTAGTGATAATTTGGTCAAAACTAATTTTTGTTTGTTAAAATATATTATGCACATGTTATAGACGATTCCATCAAAGGAATAACTAGTTCTGTTAGCATAAGCGCATGTAATACAATGCACGAATTAATGCAAGAATTCGGCATAGTCCAAAGGCTAAAGTGGTCAAAGCAAGAACATTAAGGTCTCAAAGGTTTGAAATAAAAAATTAATAAATTTTTTAAATATAACTTTTAGATTGGTGCATGGAGGGATGAAAATAAGATAGGTCGAGTTAAACTTTGTCAAATTTAAATCTGTCATGTTAAAAAAACTGAAGTCTAAGTCTGATCTGTAGTTTCTCATAAGATTATTTTTATGTCTGAGTCTGAAATCTTGTTAGCCTGTTAGTCTACATAAAAACCTGTTATTTTAAGTTACATATTAATATAAGTTTTGTGAGATTATTTGTTTAAGATAATTTACGAAAATAATTTATAGGCAAAATACTATTTTTGGTTCCTTAACTTTATCCTTAGGTTCAGATTGGTCCCTTAATTATTTTTTGTGTCAGATTAATCCCTTAACCATTTAAAACGTGTCATATTGGTCTTTTTTTGTCTAATTAGCGACAGATTTTTGAATATTTTTCGTCGCTAATTAGACAAAATTGACCAATATGACACGCTTTAAAGAGTCAATGGACCAATCTGATACAAAAAATAATTAAGAGACCAATATGAACCTAAGGATATAATTAAGAGACCAAAAATGGTATTTAGCCTAATTTATAACATTGTTAATAAGGGTGCAAGTCTAGCTAAGCATTCTTCAACTCTTTGTTAGATGGAAAAATCAGATGATCTGTAACACTTGTCCTAGGAGATACGAGATAGTTGTTCCAAAGATGTTTTAGGGCTTTAAAATCTTAAATCTTAATAATAAAATCTAACGAAAAATTGAAACTTGGATACACACTATTCTAAAGTTTTAAATCTCATATTCACGACGTTTATTGACCTAATAAGCGTCTTTGTAGTACAATCTCACTGCAAAATTTGTTGAAAACTGATTTTTGTTATTTTCAATTGTGGTAATCGGTTATCGGATATGTGGTAACCAGTTACATGCTGAGACAGAGGTGTGGCTCTCTACTAGAATGGGGTGTAACCGGTTACACTGGGAGTTTTTTCAGTTTCAACTTATTTTTTAAAGTTGTTTTGTATTTTTTCCAATTTTGGATATGTTGTATAAATAGCCTTCAGTGCTCCCATTTGTGGTTAATATCAATTTTAATTATCACTCTCAATTACTCTCTCTCTCTCTCTCTATCTATCTATCTATCTATCTATCTATTTTCTCTTTTAATTTTCTCACTTCATCTTCTACAAATTAACTCAATTCTCTGTTGATTCACCATTGAAGTTTTGTATGTTCTAACATTTGGCATCAAAAGTACTGGTTCTAACCCATTAATCCACAGCAATAATGAGTACTATTTTTAATGACAGAATCCCCACCAACCTTCCGATTCTTTATTCGAAGAATTATGACAAGTGGTCCAAGCAAATGAAAGTTTTATTTGGGTATCAAGAAGTTCTTGAGGTGATCAACAATGGAGTCACACCACTTTAGGAAGAAGCTACAGATGTTTAGAAGGTTACATTCAAGGAAGAAAAGAAGAAGGATTACAAAGCACTCTTCTTGATTCATTCATGCATCGATGGTGACAACTTCGAAAAAATTGTCGATTACGAGTTGGCGAAGCAAGCTTGGGAGATCTTGGGAAAAGCTTATGTAAAGGTTGTTAAGGCAAAACAAACTCACAAAAGGTAATTCGAGTTAACGCAAATGGAAGAGAGGGAAACGATCAACGATTACGTGACGAGTATTATGCGTTTGATGAATCAAATCAAGACGTGTGGAGAAACCATTTTGGAGCAGAATGTTGTGTCGAAGACTTTGCATTCTTTAACGTCAAGATTCAACAACATTGTAGTGGCTATCGAAGATTTGAAGGACCTTGTGACGTTGAGCAATGATGAGCTTCAAAGCTCTCTTGAGGCTCATGAGCAAAGGATGGACGAAAGAGGAAATGATAAAGTTAAATCAGAGATAGTTTTAGAAGCACGGTTAAACGAGAAGAGTAAAATATCAAAATGAAAATGGGCTTTGAGAGGGAAGTAAAATTTTCAGAATTCAGGTGGAAGAGATCCATAAATTTTGAAGGTTTCGATGGGAGAAAGAGGTGAGAGCAGCTCCAATGATAGTGGTCAAGGCAACAACTTCAAGAAGATTGACAAGAGTAAGGTGAAGCGTTACAATTATCATAGAGTTGGTCATTTCGCAAGAGATTGTAACGTGAAACTAAGGGAAAATCAAAGTGATGAAGCTAAATTTGCAAGGCAAGAGGTGGACGATGAAAACACGCTTTTGGTTATGATCACGTGGGGAGAATTATGGCACTAAAGAGCTGCTAGGCAGCAGCAATAATAGCTGTAAATTACAGGACAACAGTTGCAACAGTTCGAAAAATACGGTAGAAACGCGTCCAAAGAAAAATGTAATGGTAATGATTCGAGAGGAAGTTCAAGGAAGTGATGAGTGGTACTTGGATTTTGGTTGTTCAACGCATATGACAGGTAGAAAGGATTAGTTTGTCAAAATCAACCGAGCCACGAAGGATAAGGTGAAATTCGTAGATGACACCACTTTAGCGGCCGATGGAGTCGATGATGTTTTGATCATGAGAATGGGTGGTGGTCATTCCTTGATCAAATATGTGTTGTACATTGCAGGAATTAAGTGTAATCTCTTAAGAATTGGCCAATTGCTTGAGAAGAATTACATGATTTGCATGGAAAACATGATTCTGTGCGTTTTAAACTAAAACATGGTTTTAGTCCTTAAAGCTCCTATGGATGCCATTAGAAATTTCAAGATAGAGTCAAGAGTGATAGAGCATATGTGTTTAGATACAATGGCAAGTCGAGAAGAATGGTTATGGAACTATCATCTTGGGCATCTCAATTTTTGCGATCTCAAAGCGTTGCAACAAAATGATATGGTTACCAGGCTGCCACACATTAATATTCTAGCTGAGTTGTGTGAGTAATGTGTGAAAGAAAAAAAAACACAAGGGTATTTTTAGCAAGGATGCAGGTCATAGGACCAAGGCTCACCTTAAGGTGGTGTATTTCGATGTATGCGGGCCAATGCAAGTTGACACATTGGGTGGCAATAGGTATTTTGTAACATTTATCGACGATTTTAGTAGAAAGCTATGAACTTACCTTATCAAGAGGAAGGATGGGATGTTTGATGTGTTCAAGAAGTTTAAGTCCATGGTGGAGAGGCAATGCGGTCAAAAACTCGAAGTGCTCACAATAGGTGGTGGAGGTGAATACGTCTCGAATGACTTTGGGAAGTTTTGTGACCAAGAGAGGATAGTCCATGAGGTTATACCATCCTATACACCATAGTAAAATGGTGCTACTGAGAGAAAAAATCAACCGATTATGAACATGGTTTGTAGCATGTTAAGTGGAAAAAACTTTCCAAAGGAGTTATGGGGAGAAGAGGTCTCTACAACCACCTATTTGTTGAATAGGTGCCCTACTAAGAGGTTTGAGAAGCTGACACCAGAAGAGGTATGGTCTGGATTCAAACTGAATTTGAGAGGTTTTGGTTTGGTGGATTATTGACATGTGTCAGGTCAACTTAGAAAGAAGTTGGACGACAAGGGTGAGGAGATGATATTGGTAGGATATCACTCTACTAGTGGATACAAGCTGTTTGAGGCGCGAAATTAGAGAATAGTGATCAGTCGCGATGTTATTTTTGAAGAAATTAGACATGCAGGCCCAGGTGTAACCGGCTATAGCCAGCAGCTCATTCTGGTGTAACCGGTTACCAGCAAAAAAAAATAGAGTTCCAGTTTTGCAGATCCAGGTGTAACCTGTTACACCCATCCAGTTCATTCTGGTGTAACCGTTTACCAGCAGAACAGAAAACCCATATTTGTTTTTTTTATCCTGAAAGTTCTGAAATAGTCGTGAAGCCATCGATTAAGGTCTGAAATAAAGAGAATGTTAGACAGCCAACAAGGCAAAGAGTGTTACCTCAAATACTCCAAGAATGTGAGAGGTTATGTGACAATGAAATCAATGATGATGGTGATTTCGTCCATTTTGTGCTTATGGCCGAATCTGAACCGGTGAACACGGAAGAGGCTCTAAGAGATCCAAAATGGATTTGTGAAATGAAGGAAGAGCTAGATGAAGGTGAGAAAAATACACAAGAAGGGGAGGTTGAATTGTCTTTTCTATTATCTTAGTTTGCATCTTATCGAAGTTCAGAATCTAAACTGGTGTTCAAATTCTGTTTAATTCTTAGCAACAGAATGTTAACAGAAGCAAATAAATAATAGCATAAGACACAAAGATTTATATTGGTTCCTCAAAAGTAAGAGTAGTCCAATTCCCTTGCTTCACAAGATATTTTCACTATAATCAAAACATGATTACAATTGCTTATGCATTTTGCACAAGACTTTTACATTTTCTCAGACCTAAGGTCTAAGACTTCTGCTCAAGCTCCTCACTCGAGACTTCTTGCTCAGGTTCCATCAACCCAATACCTCCTTACT